GGCTGGGATTGGTTCCTGAGTGAGGCCGTGGGTGGATTGGATGGCAGACCAAAGCTGCGGGAGGCCTGTAACCTCTTGCAATGAGACCCTGTCACTTCTTCTTCTTCTTTTTAAATCCTCACTCGAGGATATGTTTATTGATTTTAGAGAGAACAGAAGGGGGTGGGGGAGGGGAGAGAGAGATGTGAGAGATAAACATGAATTGGTTGCCTCCCACATGCTCCCTAAATGGGGATCAAACCTGCAACCTAAGCATGTGCCCTGACTGGGAATCAAACCCACAACCTTTTGGTGTATGGGACAATATTCCAACAAACTGAGCCACCCGGCCAGGGCCTTGTCACATCTTTAAGGAGACTTGTGGGCCTCTCCTTACCTATGGGAGCAAAGTCCTTAAGAAGACACATGTTGAAGTCCTTTGTGATCTGCCTCCTGCTGATCTTCCCAGCTTTATCACTTCCTCCTTCATCCCAAGTACCCGAGGCTCCAGTCTTGGTGAAGACCATGTCATTCCCTTTCCTTGTCTTTATCTGAATTGTTTTGCTCCCTCATCCCTCCCTTCTCTGCTTGGCAAACTCCTATTCAAAACCCAATTTAAGTGTAACATCATCCCCCCATTCCACTCATATCTACGGAGTGCCTGCCATGTTTTAGTCCTGGTCCGCCCTCCTGACTCCACTGCTCTCCACCTCTGTGCACACCTCTGCTTCGAGAGGTCATCTGGACGGTTTGAATGGGCTCATTGGTTTCAGAGTCAGGCAGACTGTATTTGAATCCCATTTTGTATGACCTTGGGTAGGTTGTTTTTCTCCTCTGAGCCTTGACTTTGTCATCTGCAAAAAGGGACGATATACCCCAGGCTCTTAAGACTCTTTAGTGATGGAATGTTAGTGCAGAGCCGAGAAGCAAATGCTACTTGGAGCAGTCAGGGCTCGGTTGTGAGGGTACTTAATTTTAAAAATCTTTTATAGTTCATTTGCTTGAATCAGGATCCAAAAAAGTTCACATATTACAGTCAGTTGATGTATTTCTTAAGACTCTTTGAATGTGTTTCCCTCCCTTTCTTTTAATGCCATTTATTTGTTGAAGCTAGGTCATTTGTCTTAAAAAATTTTCCACATTTTAGATTTAGGTAATTGCTTTTTTGTGGTGTCATGTGACCTGTTCTTATATCTCCTTATTTACTATAAGCTAGTGGTAAGATCTAGAGGTTTGATGATATTTAAGATGATGATTATGATGGTGATTTTGGTAATAATAATACAGAGGTGCTGTTGCATACTTATTGCATCATTTTATTGGAGGCACATAATGTCTGGTTGTCCTACTTTTGGTGGTGTTAAGATTGACGACTGGGTTCTTTTTTTAAACAGTCATGGAAATTTGCACATAACTTGGGTACTAGGTAATGTTAAGAAATCACTGCTAAATTTTTTAGGTGTATTTATTTATTACATAATGGTATTGTGCTTGGGTAAAAGAAAAATCCCTATCTGATGTGCACTATAACATGGATGAATCTTAAAACATTATGCTAGTGAAAAAAGCCAGACTCATTAGGTATTATTTTATTTGTATGGAACATTCTAGAACAGGAAAAGCTAATTCCTACTGACAGAAAGCATGTCAGTGGCTGCTTGGTGCTGAGGATGGGGATTGACTGTAGGAGAGCATGAGAGGACTTTTCTGAGTGATAGAACTATTTCATATCTTGATCATGGTGGTAATTACACAGGTATATACATTTGTCAAAACTAACTGAACCATGTACTTAAAACAAGTGTGTTTTATTGTATGAAAATAAAGATTATTCTATTGTATACAAAGTTAGCTTTAAAAGAAAAGAAGTTTACAAATAAAAAGACTCCATTCAGAACATCTACAAAACTAAAATATGCCTAAGAGGAAAAACACTCAAATGTTATATAACACCTTTGCAGAGAAAATTATAAAATTATGTTAAAGCACATAAGAGAACATATAAATATTGAGAGAAATACACAACATTTATGGATGGAAGTCTTAATGTCCTTCCCAAATTAATCTATAAAGTTAATGCAATGTTATTAAAAACTCTAAGAGTTTTGTAAAAAGTCTTTGTCTATTATAGGTAAATAGTGAAGTATTTAAGTTGAAGTGCTATGATGTTTGGGATTTAATGGATTCCAAGAAAATAATGTGGAAGAAGAAATGAATCACTGTTGGTCATGTGTTCGTAACTATTGCAGCCCGGTGATGGGACCCTATTCTAGAAGTGGAGCAGCTCAGTGCATCTTGTGAGATGAGGAAACAACACCAGGCTGGGGTGGCAGGAGAGAGTGAAGCTACAGTTCCCCAGGTCTGTCTGAACTCCAGCATGCTCAGCCTCTTTAGGGTGGGACAGACAAGAGAACATCTTGCAGGCCTTGCTAAGGATTTTGGATTTTATCCCATGTTGAGCATTTCCGCCCCTCTTTACTGTATAACTATGACATCTTGGGAGGGCCCTGGGTCCTGGCTCTCGCCTTGGAGGGTGTCTTGGAGGGTGTACCAGTCAGAACTTTCAGTTGCAAGTGCCAGAAATCCAACTCAAATTTATCGTCTTATGTGGGAAGAGGAACTTATGCATTACATAACAGGAAAGTTAAGGAGTTCAGGCACAGCTTGATCCAGATTCTCAAATGATGGCATGGCTATGTCTGTCCCCACAGCTCGCCTCTGCAGTCCTCTGTGTGAGCTCATCCTGACTAGCTTTTCCCCCGCGGTGACAAGATGGTCACTACTTTGTGCTGGGCTTACAGCTTATCTGTTTATTAATCCCCAGTGGAAAGAGGGGCTTCTTTTCCTAGCAGCTCCAATCAGTCTGCTTCTCGTTACGTAGACTTGAATCAGATGCTCATCCCTGAACGGATCAATAAAGGCCGCTCTGATCAGGGAGGCACGGGCCATGTGCCTACCCTGAACCTCCTCTTGAACCTCAGCTCAGGGATTGCCAGTGAGGAAAGTTTGGTTCCCCAAAGGAAAATCCAGATGTGGCCCCCAGTAAAGAGGGGATGGTAAGAAGCTGGGTCAGCAGCACACTGAAGGAACACCCTCCCACACCCCTCATTGGCAGGCGTCAGCCTCTTCCTGAGCACACAGAGGGCCTCGTGCAGGGCCTTCACCAGCCCCCACTGAACTAACTCTCACTCTTGTCTTCACTGGACACTGCTTCCACATCATTTCCGCAGCTGGCCTTGCATCTGTCCCCGGCAGCGGCCCCATACCTGTTTGCCCCCCTCCCGCGCTGCAGACCAGCTGGAAGGTGAAGGCACCAGCTGTGCTCCCCCAACATTTTCCTCTCCAGGCCTGTCAGGTTCATTGCCTTTGGACCTGGTTTCCAGGTCCCTCAATGACGTGCTTGTCCTCTTCTTGGAAATGAGATGTCCCAGAGCTCAAGGCAGTGCGTGCCTGAGCTTCCTCTCAGTAAAATGGAGGTGGTATGTGCCCCTAGGGTGTTACGAGGGTTTGAGTGACCATATTTTTAGAATTTAGAACAGTGTCCGACACATAGCAGGCACTCAGTAAACACCAGCTGTGTTTTTTATCACTGCAGCTAGAGACCGTACATCGCAGTCCCTGTGCATCCCTACCCAGTCCAGTTCAGTGACAGGTTCTCGGGTGCCATACAACCCATTGGTTTTTACAACAGAATAATCTGTGGAATACTCACACATGCATTGTCTCACTTAAACCTCATAGCTTTGTCAGGTGAGCAGGACAAATGGTATTTATTCCCCATTACAGATGAAGAAACTGAGGTTCAGAGAGGTTAGACCTCTTGCCCAAGATTACTCAGCCAGTCAGTGGCGGAAGAAGGATTTGAACCAGTCCCTTAAAAAATTACATTTTGGGGCCTTTGCTCAGGCTGCCCCACAGCCTAGATGACTTTTTGTAGTCCGGCCTGTCGGCTCTTTCTCATCCTTTCATGCCCTGGTCAAATACTCTGTAAACAGTAATAATGAGAAGAACTAACATTGATTAAGCACTTGCGCCACTCCAGATGAAGTGCATAAGGCTTTCTTTTCCCCATGATCTTTAAGGTAAGTATTACTGTTACAGAGGGAGAAACTGAGGCTCAGAGAGGTTAAGCAACCTGCCCAGGGTCACTCAGTAGGTGTGACAGCGGGAGTTGAACTCGTGAAGCGCTCTGATTCTGGAGCAGGCCTTTCTTGCCCTCACGATGTGGGTCCTGAACCCAAGGATGGCCACAGACTCCTCCTTCCCCTTGAGTCTGAAATCTGGGCTCCTGCCCCTGCCTGGCTCCCTTGGAGCTATTTGCTCCTCCCCGTCCAGTAAGCAGACAGTAAGCAGAGAGCTCGTTCAGGGCAGGAACCTGACTCCTTTACCTCTGTAGCCCTGCACGAAGATGCTCCACGTGCCAAATTATTTCATTTGTTCCCTGTGAGGCAGGCAGGGCAGAGGTGCTCTTAGATGAAGACAGGACAATTGGGAGATTAAGTGACTCTCTCAAGGCCGCCCATTTGTAAATGTAGGAGCCTAGACAAGAAAGACTGGGATCTCCTGGGTGCAAGCTGGCACAGGGCCCTTCCTCTCCCTCGTCCGGTCCTCCACTCTGTTCCTTGCCTCTGTGGGGAGAAAGGACAGCATAGCCTTAGCTGGGAGTGGGCGTGGGGGCCTGGACAAAGGCCCGATGGGCCCAATGCCAGGGAAAGGATGGCGAGTAGGCCGGCAGTAGACCCAAGAGGGAAAGAAGGAACAGTATTTTTGCATTTCGACATTACAAACTGAAGATTAGATTGTCAGCGACTGGCCAGCAGCATCTGTTTTGGTTCGGAATTGGCAGCGTAGGGCACTCAGCTTCTGGACGGAAGGAGAGGAAGGCGGCTGCGGGCTGGTGGGCGAGGCGGCGCCTCTGCGGAGGGAAGGGCTCTGCCCTTTAAGAGCTCCGCCCAAAGGGGCGCTGCCACGCCTAAGGAGGCGGGTGGCCGAGCTTCTCATTCATTGTCTTGACAAGAGCATCCTCAGCGGGCAGTCTCTGGCTCCTTCAGCGCCTTCCTCCACCTCCTCGTCCTCCTCCACTTGGGGGGGTCTCAGCAGCAGGTAAGCCTGGGGTCCCGGGAGAAGGGACTAGGCATCGCTGTCCTGAGCCACCTGTGGGGCAGGCGTGAGCTTGGTGGGAGCCGACTGTGGGGGTGGACAGGCTGTCAGAGGGCGCCAGTGCTGAGATGAGGACAGAGCCCGCGCATGCCTGCGTGGAGGGGACTCGCCTGGGGTGTGGGTGAGCGTGGGAGGGTCCATCAGTGTGCCTGAGAGCTCCAAGAAGAGGCGAGGGTGAGGGGCCAGGGCAGCCAAGATGTGTGTGTGGGAGGGGGAGACGTTGAGAATACGTGGGGGACCCTGACTCTCCCCGGAATGGGAGTCTTTGGGGTGGGGGTGGGGGACCGGGTGCAGTGAGCTGAGCGGCTGCCCTAAGCTTGGAGACAGGGAGGGGTTGAGAGCAAAACAAGAAAAGACCAAGTTCCCCTTTCCGTGGTTTCCGGGCCTGGTACCTGCGGTGGGGGAGGAGGCAGGGTGGGGTGATGGTTTCCTGTCCCCCAACCTCCGGTTTGGGGCTCTCTGCTTCTCAAACCCAGGCTTCTCACCTGGGACTGACCGCTTGCCCCCAGACTGCTTCTCCTCACACGCTCACGCATGCTCCTCACTGCGAAGCTCCTGGAGACTCATTAGGTGGGCCAGGGGCGGTGGAGCCCCCAGTGAGAGGGACCAGGCCCTAAGGTGGGGCAAATGGGTGAAGCTGAGGAAGTAGAATAGGGGTCCAGAGAGTGTCCACCCAGCGGGCACCCCGATCCTGGTACCTGGGGAGCCAGAGGCTGTCCCCTCTGCCCCACTAGCTCTCTGCCAGGCCAATGGGCGAAAACCATCCCAGCTGGACCTCAGAAGAGCCAGCCCAGCCTCTCCCTTCCTGTGTAGAGTTCCAGTGGGGGTGGAGATGGCACTAGGGCACCTGCCTAGTGGAGGCGAGAGGCGGGAGTGGGGGTGGAAACCCAGACCCAGGCCATCTGCGCATTTGTGGTGCCCAGAGGCCTACTGAGGAAGCCATCCTGACACCGACGGATGTGCCTCCTAGGCAGGCGCACGTGCTGTTTCCCTCCGTGTGCCCAGCACTGTGCCAGAGGCAAGGTGGCCAGCCCTGCCCCTGACTTTAGGAAATTCCCCTGTAGATGTGAGGGAGGTGAGGTCTGGACACTGAGACTGAGAGAAACCCCCTCCATGGAGTGAGCCATCAGAGAGAAAGGCTCTGTGCCTGTCAGCCAGTCAGCTGACGCCAAGTCGCACTAGGTGCTGCCCTACGCCAGGCTCTGCTCCAGAGGCCCAGGGAACAGGAGCTAGGGCTGAGGGGTGTGCGGGGGGGCCCTGCAGGTTAGACGGGAGGGAAGAAGGGTGCGGAAGGTGAGAGGAGCGTGAGGGGAGCAGGACAGCAATTGCAGAGGAGAGTGAGTGGCAGGGAGCCCTGGAAAGATGGTGCTGGGGAAGTTACCTGAGACCTTAAATGCTAGGCTGAGGGGTGTCCTGGGGAAGGCCAGGACCACTGTAAGGTCAGAACTGACCTGAAAGCAGAAAAACTCTCAACCCGTGTGTCCCTCCACTTCCACCCCAGGATGAGCCGGCAGGTAGTGCGCTCCAGCAAGTTCCGGCATGTGTTTGGACAGCCGGCCAAGGCTGACCAGTGCTATGAGGATGTACGCGTCTCACAGACCACCTGGGACAGTGGCTTCTGTGCTGTCAACCCCAAGTTTGTGGCCCTGATCTGTGAGGCCAGCGGGGGAGGGGCCTTCCTGGTGCTGCCCCTGAGCAAGGTGAGCCTCTAGAGCCCTGAGAGCAGCCTCCCACCTAAGGTGGCCTCTGGCCTTCCAATGGCCGCCCAGGGTGCCCGGTTAGGTGACTGATCAAGCCTTCCTGGGCCACAGTGTTGCCATCTATAAAACTGAGCTGGGCCAAATGAGCCGTATGTGGAATCTCAGAGGGGAGATGACACAAGAAGGATCGCACAGTGAGTCCGGAGACCCAGGGTCCCCAAGTCTCAGCCCGGGGCCTTCTCCCCTCGGGAGCACAAAGAAAGGTGCGCTGGGGTCTGGGCAGGCCCAGCGGTGCTCTCAGAATTGGGAGGGACTCCAGGTCTGGGCCCGTCAGAGCCCTGGGGAACCTAGCAAGTCCTAGCGCCCAGCTCACGGGCAGGGGCCACGTAGGAGGGCCTTCTCCTCTGCCCAGGCCTGCCCTCCTGACCCTGCTCCCCTCCCTGGCTGTCTGCCGACCCCTACTCTCAGCAACCTACTGTGCTCTTGGGGGGTGAGACAGGAAGGGAAGATGGGCCCTAAGTTGTTACCTTAAAAGGGCTGATGGAAGCAAAGAGAAGAGGAAGTGGTTGTCAGGGTGAGAGCTGGGCCTGCTCTTCACACAGGAAGCCTTTCTGCAGCAGCTGTCCCCGGAAGTGGCCATTTCCAAACCTCTGCTCCTGTCTGGGGGCCATTTATGACAGATTTCCTGGTCCCTCTCCTTTTGAAAGGACCCATGCCCACATCCCCACCACACACACGCTTCCCTGGGAATGCTTACCCCAATCCTGTTGACTCCCCCTTCCCTACCACCTGTCTTGAGCCTTGGCCTGTGCCATGGAAGCTGGGGTGGGGCTGGGGGCCCTTGGGGCAAAAGTGAGAAACTGAGATAGAAATGGCAGGAACTTGGCAGATGTGACAGTAAGGCAGGGCCAGGACCTGGCATGGCCCTGGTGCCCAGCCCCATGCCCCCAGTCTGCGCTTCTCGTGGCCAGTCTGTCTGAGTCACTCTGACAACTCTGGCCTGGGGCAGAGGCCCAAACCCTCCCACCCTAGGCCCCGCTTGCCCTCCCAGGGACCCTGCAGCCTCACTCCCTTTGCCTCTCTGAAGGGGTGTAGGGAGGTGGGATTGGGTTTGGGGAGCCAAAGCACCTCCCTCAGAGGCCCTGCTGTGCCCTCTAGACTGGACGTGTGGACAAGAACGTGCCCATGGTCTGTGGCCACACAGCCCCCGTGCTGGACATTGCCTGGTGCCCGCACAATGATAATGTCATTGCCAGTGGCTCTGAGGACTGCACAGTCATGGTGAGTGGTGGTGCGGATACAGGGGCAAGGAGGGGGCTCCAGGTCGGGACCTGACATTCGGAACACCCAAGACCCACTTGCCCCTTCTCTGCAGGTGTGGGAGATCCCCGACGGGGGCCTGACACTGCCCCTGCGGGAGCCTGTCGTCACCCTGGAGGGCCACACCAAGCGCGTGGGCATCGTGGCCTGGCACCCCACAGCCCAGAATGTGCTGCTCAGTGCAGGTGCCGGGGGGGGGGGGTGGGGGTGGTGAAGAGGGGTGGGTTGGTCACCTGACAGTGAGGGGGGGGGCTCATGGCTTCTGACACTGAGGGCATTGCCCAGGTTGTGACAACGTGATCCTGGTGTGGGACGTGGGCACTGGGGCGGCTGTGCTGACGCTGGGCACGGATGTACACCCGGACACAATCTACAGCGTGGACTGGAGCCGGGACGGCGGCCTCATCTGCACCTCCTGCCGTGACAAGCGCGTGCGCGTCATTGAGCCCCGTAAAGGCACTGTTGTAGCTGTGAGTTGCCGTGAACCGTAACCCTGGACCCAGAGGCCTTTGTCGCTCCTACCCACCACCAACCATGCCCCTAGATGCCACCTTCTCTTGCCCCTGACTGGGGTCTGGCCCTCAGGGTGCGTGTATGGGCGCCTGACCAACCACCTCCCTTTCCTTCCAGGAGAAGGACCGTCCTCACGAGGGGACCCGGCCGGTGCGGGCTGTGTTTGTGGCTGACGGAAAGATCCTGACCACAGGCTTCAGCCGCATGAGCGAGCGCCAGGTGGCACTGTGGGACATGGTGAGTGCAGTCACAAGGCTGGAGGCTTAGTCCCGGCCCTGCCACCTGCCTGGATGTGTGCTCATGGGCCTTATCTTATCACCATCCACTGGTTGGTCTGTAGGGGGTCCCCCCGCCCCCCAACCCCAGGTCACTGCCCAGTGAAGACCACCACCCTGGGACCTGATGTGGCCCATCTCATTGTTACCTCCTGCCTGTCTCTACAGAAGCACCTGGAGGAGCCACTGTCCCTGCAGGAGCTGGACACAAGCAGTGGTGTCTTGCTGCCCTTCTTTGACCCTGACACCAACATTGTCTACCTCTGTGGCAAGGTGGCCCAGCTGGGCAGGGGGTCAGGGAAGGGAGGTGGGCAGAGGGGCTTGGAGAGGACCACAGCTGCAGGCATCTGTCAGTATTGATCTTCCCTTGCACCCACTACCCACAGGGTGACAGCTCTATCCGGTACTTCGAGATCACTTCTGAGGCCCCGTTCCTGCACTATCTCTCCATGTTCAGTTCCAAGGAGTCCCAGCGTGGCATGGGCTACATGCCCAAACGTGGCCTGGAGGTGAACAAGTGTGAGATTGCCAGGTGACTGATCCCGGACCCGAGCATGCTCTTAGGGCAGTGCTGACCTCATGCTTTCAGTTCCAGCCCCACCGTGCTGTGGACGCTGCTCACTTTTCTGTTTCCACAGATTCTATAAGCTGCACGAGCGGAGGTGTGAGCCCATTGCCATGACAGTGCCTAGAAAGGTGATGCTTCCATGTGCCTCCTTGGGCTCTGGGCTGGGAACTGACCTTGCAGAGCTGCAGGGTGGTGGCGTGGCCTAACCATGCTCTTAACCAGCCTTGGCCTTGCCCACAGTCGGACCTGTTCCAGGAGGACCTGTACCCGCCTACTGCAGGGCCTGATGCTGCCCTCACGGCTGAGGAGTGGCTGGGAGGTCGGGATGCTGGGCCCCTCCTCATTTCCCTCAAGGATGGCTATGTGCCGCCAAAGAGCCGAGAGCTGAGGGTCAACCGGGGCCTGGACACTGGGCGCAGGAGGACGGCACCAGAGACCAGTGGCACTCCCAGCTCGGTGAGAGGCGAACGGGAGGCTGGAAATTAGGATGGGAAGACAGGGTAGAGCAGGGGCTGCTACTGATGTGGCCACTGGCCCAGAGGAAAGAGGCTGGCCTTTGAGGCAGCCCAACCTTACAGTGGGGTGGGAGTGGGTAATCCCGAGGCCTCAGGACACAGGCTTCCAGCTTATAGGCCTGCAGCTCTCTGGGCTGCAACTGGCGGAGAGACAGAAGGGCCCAAGCCCTTGGGTTCTTGGGAGACTTAGTGGATGCCAGGGTTAAGGGGAGCCCAGGATAGAGTGGGGCCTGATGCAGTGCTGGATCCTCCAGGATGTCGTATCCCGGCTGGAGGAGGAGATGAGGAAGCTCCAGGCCACAGTGCAGGAGCTACAGAAGCGCTTGGATAGGCTGGAGGAGACAGTCCAAGCCAAGTAGAAGACTCCAGGGCCTTCAGCTGGGGCGCATGGCATCACCTCCCTCCCCTTCCATTCATACTTCCACTCCTCAGGCCACAATGGCGGATAAAATAAAAACAGCTTTATTTTCTGGTACCCCTCAGACTCTGATGACTGGTCACATGAATTATGGGTCTGCTGAGCAGACAAGACCTTGAGTTTCCCCCTCGGTAGCCTTGCTGTAACTGACCCATGGCAGGGACTGAGGAATGCCTCTGAATGCCCTAGACCACAGGAACAGGTCCTGGTGGCTGGTGGCCACCCCATTCTGGTGTGTTTTGGGGGCCCCACTGTTTTCCAGTGGGCAAGTCTGAGCTATTCAAGGCCCTAGTTTGGAGCCTCAATAGCTCCTATGTTTACCCCAAATCTGCCTTTCTAGTCAATCACTTCAGATTACATGTAACTGTATAGACACTGTTGCTTGTGGGGAAATGAGAAACTAGCACCTACATGACATCTTTCAAACTATAGGCTTCAGGGGTTCTTTTTAAAGGAGCAACAAGCAAAGCAATAGCCCACCCCTAGTTTATAGGTGAGGAGATTGAGGCACTGAATAGCTGAGGGCTTGCTGAAGGGCAGGTCCTGTGCCACGACTTAGTCTCCCCTTCTAGTTTAGAGCCTTCCTGTGCAGTATTGCTGCCTCTTGAGCCCTCACTGTGGGTTCTGCCAGAGCCTGGCCTCTGTGAGAGAGGGACCTGAATAGACCTGTCAGGCCTTATCAAATGGGGATTTGGAAGTGGGTTTCTGATACCCAACTTAGTGGGTGACTTTGAGCTGAGACACAGGGCTATTAAGAATGGGTGTCCTGGCCAGAGTAGGGTTTGGTTCACATAGGGACAGCAAGGACTTAATTCCCCATTTGCTGTCCCCTTCCCCCTCTTCAGCATGCCAGAGAGAACCACCTAGGTAGAGAGCTGAGGCAGCTGTAAGATTGTTTTTGTTTGCTCATTTTGGTTTCTCACCCTTTACACAAGCCATGCTACCCTGGGCAAGACACTCCTTTCCAGGCTTCAGTTGCCCATCTATAAAATGGGGAGTGGACCACCACAACTCAGAATGCAGTGACTGGACCCAGTCAGGGATATGAAGAGAGAATCAGAAAATCTGGAGCCTGGGCCTGTTAAAGAGATGAGATTCCCCCTCTGAATCTCTTCTGTAGAATGGGGATGGGCCCTTATCAATAGACTCAGTCACTAGATCTTCTCCTGGCCCAGAACAGTTGAAGAAAAGTTCAGGGGAGGATCCCTGGAACCCAGAAGGGCTAACCTGTCATCACCATGACTTCCAGCTTTACCAACGCTTTCTCCTTGCAATAGGAACCAGAGAGGCAGATGAGGATGGAGATAATTTAGGGGCCAAAAAACTGGCATTGAAACGGGATGGGTAGGATGGCTGAAACCTGTAATTTGTACTCCCAAGGAGCCCTGGCCCCAACTGGGTCTCAGGGACTGCATCTGTGCAAGGACTTACCAACCCTGGCACTTGTGTTGAAGCTGAAGGTTGGCCTTACTTCCCTATTCCACCCCCTATTCCTATTCTCTGCCACCTTCATTCCTGAAAACCTCATGGTCTTCCCACGGGCCTCTGTGGCCACGCCAAGCCCAGGGCTAAAAGGTCACTGGACCTTCTCCAATGGGCCAAAAAACATCAGCATCCCAGCTGTTGGAGAGCCTCTGCTGGGGTACCATGCCCCTGAGGGAACCTGCAGGAGAAGTATGGAATCCTCTTTATGCTTCTGATATTGGGGTGATGTGGGCAAGAAGGAAAGGTTTGTTAAATTGGCCAGCACCCTGAAACCCTGAGTGCTTTCTCATCTGTGCAACTTGAAGGCTGGCAGAGGGCATTAACACCCAGCAGTGCCCGATAAATGGGTGGGCTTGTTGTGTAGTTGGGGTATGTCTAGGGGTCTACCAAGAATTACAGAAAAGACCTGTGAGGCCTGCCCTAGAAGAGATTTTAAGAATGAAATTCCACTTTATAAATGTGTGTGGAGAGGGACTTGCCCAAAGTATCACAATGGAGAGTGGCAGGGCGGGGAGAAGCCAGGCCCTAGACTGCCTCAGCACCCCTCCCACACACAAGACACCAACGCAGAAGCTGACCCTGATTCGTAATTTAATGGCCGTGCAGGTTCTGGTCCCTTATTTCTGCTGCTCACGGGCCCACTGCTCTGGGGTCAGGGTTTTCTGTTCAAAAGCATGGATATGCAGAAGCTCTTCTTCTAGGCATGCATTCACCAACCTGGGGGAGAGATGGGGTTAGGGAATGGCAGAAGCCTGAGTCACAGTCCCTGACGCTAGTTTGACCCGGGAGACGGAGGCATCCCCAGGACCTGGGAACGAGAGAGACAGAGGACCTAAGTCTCAATACTCGATGAGGGGCCTGCGAAGGCAGGATCCTTGGGGTCGTAAGTCGACGGTGCTGGACCGCACTGGCTGGGGTGAGGGAGTTGGGCTGCGGGGGGCGGCCGGGCTGTGGTCCAGGAGCTGGGACTGCGTTGAGCAGGGTGTTCCCCGGGCCTCACCGGTGTCTCTGAAGCAGCGGCTTCCCTTCGAACTTGGCCGACACCACCAGGACTCGGAAGCTGGACGCGCAACGGTTGGGAGTCGTGTCCTCCACTTCCTATGGGGCGGAATCGTATAGGTGGTGCCAAACCACCCATCTGGAAACCCTTTTCCACTCTCTGGGTGAATCCAGGCCGCTCAACTCACCACGTGATCTGCCTCCAGGTCCCGCTGCAGCTTCTCCCGGAGATACTCGGCGCTGAGTTCCATGGCGGCAGCCCAAGGGGGGCTGCAGCCCAGCGAGGGCAGAACCTCAACACTGACGCAAGTCACGCTACTTCCACTCTTACTCGTGCCACTTCCGCTGAGGCCTCTACTTCCGCCCTTAATAAGGCCTCCGTAAACTCAGCACTTCCGCCCTCACGCACGCCTAGCTTTCCAACCTTACAAGGTTTCCGCGCTTACCGTCAGTCAGCCAATCAGAGTCTGCGCAAGGACCGACTCGACCCCAGCCGAAGTTAATTGGTGTCCACTGCCCGCACAGCTGCCTGGGTTCCGTGGGCGGTTTTGGATCCCCTAACTGCAGCCAGGAAAGGGTGCGCGAACCCTAGTTGCTGCTGCTGCCTCTGGAATACCTCGGAATCGCCCCCAAGCGCTTTTTCCTAGATGAGCATATTGCGGTCCTGGCAACCCAAGCCACTCCGAGGTCAGAGGCAACAACAATCAACCCACAAGCCTTGATGGGCCCCGCGGGAGGCTCGACGAGGCCCCGGCGCTTCTTCGGCGTCTACCTGCTCTATTGCCTGAACCCTCGGCACCGGGGCCGCGTCTACGTGGGGTTCACCGTCAACCCTGTTCGTCGAGTCTTGCAGCACAACGCGGGCCGCAAAAAAGGCGGGGCTTGGCGGACCAGCGGACGTGGGCCCTGGTAAGAGGGGGCGGGTCACTCAGGAGGAGGGCGTCAAAGAGGAGGTGGGGCCAGCAGGGTAGAGGCCAGTGTCAGTGGGCGGGGGCGGAGAGGCGGGCCTGGGGTCGCTAGAGAAGAGGACCGGCCTGTCTCGGGGGGCGGGGGAGTGTGTGGCACGCTTTGAGACTAGGCGGTGGGACTCCAGAGGAGGGTGGAAGGGAAGATAGAGACCGTAAAAGGGAGGTAACTGTGGAGGACAGTTAAGTCCCTGTGATTGGAGGCGGACCCTGGGGTTGGCAAGTGTGAAGGTCGGACCTCTAAGAAGGGGGCAGGGCCTCGTGGACGGGGCTTGACGCCGTTTGTGAGGATTCCTCTCCCTGCTAGGACTGAAGGAGAAACGTGACGAGGGGGTTAGGCACGACACAGGATGGGGCTGGGGGCTCACAGGCCGCGCCCTCATTCTCTTCCCCAGGGAGATGGTGCTCATCGTGCACGGCTTCCCTTCTGCTGTGGCCGCCCTTCGCGTAAGGAAGGAGACTGGGCTGGTGGGAAGATGGGCTTGGGCTTGGGGCCTTCCCTCTACTGTCATGAAGCCCTCATTCCTTCCCGCAGTTTGAGTGGGCCTGGCAACACCCGCATGCCTCGCGCCGCCTGGCACACGTGGCTCCACGCCTGCGCAGCGAGGCAGCTTTCGCTTTCCACCTGCGCGTGCTGGCGCACATGCTGCGCGCGCCGCCCTGGGCGCGCCTCCCGCTCACCCTGCGCTGGCTGCGCGCCGACTTCCGCCAGGACCTCTGCCCACCACCACCGCCGCACGTGCCTATAGCCTTTGGGCCTCTGCCACCCCGAGTGTTGGCCTCCAAGTGTGGGGCCAATCCCTTTGCTGACACCGAGCTCCAGCCAGAGCAGGACGCTGAGGCCCACTGCACTCTTTGCGCCCGTGCGCTCCAGGTGAGAGACTCTACCAGGTCTCCAGATTGGGGCAGGTCTAAGACGATTTAGGATGAGGCTGTTTACTGAGGGATCACACGACCCACTGACAGCGTTTGGCAGCTCTGCTTCCATCGCTAAAACGGGGATGATAGTACTTGTGGTCATTGCTCGACATTGGTACCCTTCAACTTGAGGACTTTACCTTTGCCTTTTCCCTGGGAAGTTCTTCTCTAGACTTTCAGTCCTGATAAAGTGCCACCTCTTTGCCATGAGATCTTCCTTGGCTCTCTAAAATTGCAACTTCTTGGTTCTTACCCGCTTTCCTTTTTTTAAGCCTTACCACTTACTGTCTGACATATCATGTACAGTTAGTTGACTCTTGAACAACATGGAGGCTAGGGGCACTGACCTCGAGAAGTTGAAAAGCCATGTGTAACTTTTTACTCCCCTCTAACAGCCCTCCTTGGGTATCCATAGGGGATTCCTTCCATACCCCTCAATCCCCTTAGATTTTCTAGTCCCTTATAGAAACTGGTATAGACCGGTGCATACAGTCAGCTCTGCATCTGTGGATTCCCAGCCCTGGATCAAAAATAACATTTTTAATCTGCGGTTGGTTTAATCTGCAGATGCTGAACCCCTGGGGGGGGTGGGGGATATGGAGGGTCCATTGTGTATTTATTACAAAAAATATTGTAAGTAGACCCCTGCAGTTCAAACCTGTGTTCTTCAAGGGCCAACTGTATTTTATTTATTTTATTATGGGTCTTCCCCCACCCCCCATACTAAACTCCTCAAGGGCCATTCTTATTCAGTACTGTAAAAGAGGGTCTAGTACAGAGCAGGTGGCAAATGAATATTTAGTATGTTAACTGAGATGATAGGTCTGACTTCCACTCAGAGTAAATCTAAGTAAACATGCTGCTTAACTAGGGGAATACATTCTGAGAAATGTGTCCTTAGGCGATTTTGTTGTGTGAACATCATCGAGTGCACTTGCACATATCTAGCTGATGGTCTAGTCTCTTACACATAGGCTATACGAGATACCTCCGTCATATATGTTCCTCGTTGACTGAAAGGTTGTTATGCAGCATATGAGTATACTTGCCATTCAGAGATTTAGTGACCTTTCTTGCGATCAGGTAGCCTGTAAGGAACTCTAGGTCTAGCTGCAGTGGCCATGCTGTTTTAGAATCACTGCTAATACTCAGAAAATTGGCCAGCTTAGTCTCTATAGGTATTTTAATCCCTTCACGCATGTTTCCTCATCTATAATATACAAATAAGAATGGTATGTGCCTCACAGGGTTGTTTCATGCAAAGCCCTTGGAACGTCTGGTCCATAGAAATTCTTTGAGTTAGCGACATCATGACTCCCCATTCTCTTTTACCTGCCTGCCATCTCTGACAGGATGAAGAAGGGCCCCTGTGTTGCCCTCACCCTGGTTGCTCCCTAAGGGCCCACATGATCTGCCTGGCACAGGAGTTCCTGCAGAAGGAGCCAGGGCAGCTTCTGCCCCTAGAGGGCCAGTGCCCTGGGTGAGTCCAGCATCTTTACCCCACCCTGGTTTACCTCTGGGAAGACAGTGCCTAGTTGTCCAAGTCTAGGCCCAGGGTACCTGAGTCCTCACCTTGGCACCCGGGGCTTAGCCTGGAGGAGGCTTGTGCTCCTGACTCTCTATCTCCTACCGACTGTACCCCTTGGTAGCTGTAAGAACTCACTGCTGTGGGGAGACCTGGTCTGGCTGTGCCAGATGGGCAACGAGGAGGAAGAGCGAGACTTGGAATTAGAAGAGGTAAGAGGTGGTTTTGGACCCTACCTCACTCTATCCCCTTGGCTGCCTTTGACCACCCTTCTTGTCTCCACAGGAACACTGGACGGACATGCTGGAGATCTGATCCTCAGCATCCCTGCCTCTCCACCCATTCCTTTTCTGTGCCACTTCCTTTGGGCCTGGGCAGTTTTCACTTGGGTATAATAAAAAATCAGAGTTAAGGGTACCTTCTGGTGTTTGCCAGGATGTGTGTGGAGCTAGGAGGCAGAGACCCTGCTAGTCACGGGGTCTCTGGAGAATAGATGAGTGGGAGGGCCACTGACCCCCATAAGGACCAGCCTCTTCTCTGCTGGAGGCCCCTCTGCCTCAGCGTTCCCCAGCTTGCTGCTGAGGTTACAGTTCTTAAGGACTTAGGAGACACTCCCTTTTACTCAGAGCTCACCCACCTCCAGTGCCCAGCTTGACTTTGGACTTTAATCCAAGTATATGGACAAAGGCCAAGACTCTTTGAAACTCAGGGAAAGGAAAGCATTTTCTGAGGGGCTGTTCTTCTCTCATCTGAGTGAGGCCACACAGGAACTGTGGACCTGGGCTCACTTTCAGGGTTATGAGACTCCAGCATTCTTGCATCTTCCCATCCTCTGCTGCCTCAAAAAGAGCCTGCTGAGCAGTGCCCTGCCCCCAACCCCATCACTGCCCACCAACATCACTATGGACTGGCTGGGCAGCCTGGGGACTGTGGGTTGCCCAGGGCCTGAACACCTGCTGTCTTCAGACTGGCCTGTAGCCAGCTCTCCCCTCCACTCACTCCTCTGTCCTCTAGACCAGGCATAGTAGAAAAGCTGTTTGACAAAAACAAAACAAAATATAACACTACACCTGTCAGCTTACCTGCAGAGCTGGAGTTTTAGAGTGCAAGTCGGGAGCCAGGATTATAGCCCTTCCCCACTTTTGTCTAGATTCGTTCTTTTATTTTCTGCACACTAAACCCAGACCTTGGGTTTTCAGGCCAGCCTAATGCTGGCTCAAGATGGGGTGACTAAGCATTAACAGGGAGGAGCCTGAACTTCACCCATCCCTTCTTGGAGGACAAGCAAATCCCAGTGCTGGATCCAGATCCCTCCCACTTTGGACCTGTGAACGTCAGCTCTGAGAAGTTCTGCATTTATCATACTTCACGCTAAGCCACAGCAGAAGACAGTTGCAAGGCCAAGGTCCATATCGATCCGGTGAGTGCTAGGATGGGGGTGGAGTGGGCCAGACCTCCTTTACCCTACACTGTTAGCTCCTGTGGCTTGATTGCTCTGTTCCTGGCTCTAACAACTCTGCCCTTTCCCCATGGAAATCTCAGCTTAATCTACCACCAACTCTAACCTGGCCTGAAACCCTGTCCCTCTTCTGTTGAGTTATCAACGAGGTGAGCCTCGGCCACCCCGCAAAGGGAATTTTAATGGGGTCCAGAAATTGGGGTGTCCAAGAAAAATAGAGGATACTCTCCCCCACCCCCTGCCCAAGGCAGGCTGCCATGGGGAATGGGAGGCAGGAAGCAGGGCCAGAGCAAATGGAGCCACCACCCAGCTGGCTTTTGGGAGTCTCCTCTGTGTCACGGGTCTAGGCAGCTCAAAGAGGGAAGGACTGGGGAGAAACCCATGGGGATTAGGCCGGAGTCACAACAGAAAGTAGCCAAACACTTCGCAGGTTCTAGAGTTGTAGTTTTCTCAGGTGCACATTGGAATCTCCTGGTGAGCTTCCAAAAGCTCTAGGTGGGTCCTCTCACCAGCCGATTCAATTGGTTTGGAGTGTGGTCCAGGTACTGGGATTTGTAAAAGCAGTGCAGGTAAATCCAAGGTGCAGTCAGAGTTGTGGTCCGCTGTGTTAGGTCTGGCTGGGAATCCAGCACCAGCACTCACTAGCTCTGTGAGTGGGGGAAAGTTGCTCAGCCTCCCTGAGCCTGTTTCTTTATCTTAAAACAAGAATTCAACAAATGGCATTGTGATGTTGTTAAGGGAGGTGAGCCCCACTCTGGCCCTTGACTCAGCAACATGGAACTGGTCCAGGATACCGTGCGCCAACCTCTGGTTTATGTGAAGGGGGTCCCTCTCATCAAGTGCTTTGCAGACACACTGGGGCCACTGCAGAGCTTTCAAGCGAGGCCCGATGACCTGCTCATCAGCACCTACCCCAAATCTGGTAAGTGCTGGAGAACCTCCCACCCCTCCTTGCCCACCCTGGGCGAGCGGGGGCACACCCTCAGCCCCTGCTCACCTCCCATTTTCCTCTCCAGGCACCACCTGGGTGAGTGAGATCCTGGACATGATATACCAGGGAGGTGACTTGGAGAAGTGTCGCAGGGACCCCATCCTCATCCGGGTGCCCTTCCTTGAGTTCAGCATGCCAGGGTATCCCACAGGTGTGTGGTAGGGTGCCGGGGGCAAGTAAGGTGGAGGGAGGTAGGACCCAGACTCCAGTTGGCTCAAACTTTCCCTACCGTGGCTTAGGTATGGAAGTTCTGAGAAGTACACCAGCCCCACGGCTCCTCAAGACACACTTGCCCCTGGCCCTGCTCCCCCAGTCCCTTCTGGATCAGAAGGTCAAGGTGAGTGGCAGAGCCAGAGGAAAAGCCTTGCTGGGGCCATCCCAGCTTTGGCTCTATCTTCTGGTAAGTTCTCTTTACTTCCTCAAGCCCGGTATCAACTTCAAGAGGGAGAGATCCTCAGCCTCATGCTCTGGTGGAGTCAGATGGCCAGTGAAAGATTCTTTGCAGGGCCTGGGTGCTTGCGGGCCTATGGAGAAGGGGGGCTGGCAGGAACTACACACTGTGTTCCAAATCTGGGTATAGCGGCACTGAGGGGATTGGGTTTGTATAATAGTTCCTGGCACCAGCCAAGACTTAGGCATCAGGGCAGGGTTCACATTCCAGCTCATACAATTGTTAATTCAAACAAGTCGGCCTCTAGGAATGTTTTCCTCTTGGCCAAACCAAGAAAGCCCGTGTTGCAGGAATGCCATGAAGGGTGAAATGTTATGCTTAAAAGAATGTCTAGTGCCTGTGGTGTGCCGTGTGGTGCTGATGTGACATGAGGGTGGGAGTGCATGTCTTCTGCTTCTCCAGGTGGTCTACGTTGCCCGAAACGCAAAGGATGTGGCCGTCTCCTATTACCACTTCTACCGCATGGCCAAGGTGCACCCTGACCCTGGCACCTGGGACAGCTTCCTGGAGAAGTTCATGGCTGGGGAAGGTAGGCTTGACTCTGGAGGAAAGAGCCAGGGAAGCTAAGGAGCAGCCAGCTACAACCAATACCAACCTCTGTCTGTGCCCCCTGCCCTTTTCCACAGTGTCCTATGGGTCCTGGTACCAGCATGTGCGGGAGTGGTGGGAGCTGAGTCGCACCCACCCTGTTCTCTACCTCTTCTACGAGGACATACAAGAGGTGAGACAGCCTGCTACCATTTCCCTCCATGTTGCATGTGGGGTGGCAGGAGCCTCATGGGGATCTGCCAAGATCCCCTAAGCCCCCCTCCGCTATGGTAGCCCTGACACTGGTCCTCCTAGATCCCTATGTCACCTTTTCTGCCCAGAGCTTCAGTGCCACGTGCAGTCATTGATCATCCATTTACTACTATTGCTTCTCCCTGGGGCCACAGTTACGATAGAGACCTGGCCCTGCTTTGGCCTCTAATAAGCTGTACCTGGTTCCTCACCCATAAGGAGCCAGGCACAGCTTAACAGATCAGAGGACAGAAAACAGTTAGTTTTGCCCCAGGGACAGAGTACCAGAGAGTCAAGGAGCAGGGTCGGAAGTGGCCATGAGGTCAGAGAGGGGCTGCCTTTTTGTTCAAGGAACCACCAAACTGCCACTGAAGAGCCCCTCTGCTCCTTCAGAACCCCAAAAGGGAGATTCAGAAGATTCTGAAGTTTGTGGGACGCTCCCTGTCTGAGGAGACAGTGGATCAGATTGTAAAACACACATCGTTCAAAGAGATGAAGAAGAACCCCATGGTTAACTACACCACCATGTCCGCTGATGTCATGGACTGCAGCGTTTCTGAATTCATGAGGAAAGGTGAGTGCCCACTGGGACAGGCGACTGGGGAGGTGAGCATGGGAACAACGGCTCAAGCTGGCCCTGAGCCACTTGGGGCCTCCCCTGCAGCCAAGACCTCAAGCTTCCCTCCCCCCCCACCTCCCCAGGCATCACAGGGGATTGGAAAACCATGTTCACTGTGGCCCAGAATGAACGCTTTGATCCCCACTATGCTGAGAAGATGGCAGGCTGCGACCTCAACTTCTCCTTGGAGCTGTGAGTGGTGGTCACCGGAATACCTCCACAGGGAGTAGAATGAAATTAGCCTGGCAATGGCCTCAAGAATAAAATATAATTTGTGTTGCATGGAGTGCCTCTATTGGAAGCGAAGCAAACCTGAACTAAATGAGGCCCCTTGCAGCCTCCAGTTCCCCAACTTGCCCTAGATGGGGAAGGGTGAGAACAGTCTGGAAAAGTAAAACTCAGGAGACATGGGCAAAAGGGAAGAATATTTATTTGTTTACAATCTTTTGTTGCATCCCCCCTCGAGGATGGCAGGAGACTGAGTCTGCCAGCCTCCTTCACTTTTTCTTGGGCTCCTTACAAGCCACCACGTACCTCTGGGCCACATTGAGGGGAGGGGAATAACCATCTGCATAGGAAGTGTCTTCAAACAGGACTGAATAGTCATCCTGAGGCTGTGGCAGGAAGCAAAGGGTAGGGGGGAGCTAGTCAGAAACTCCCAGGCAAGGCCCCCCATCCCCTGAGCCTAGGCTCATAGGAACCTCTGGTGCATGGGCTCCTAGCCTTTCCTGTCCTCATCTCCACTCAAGTCTAGATGTTTGAACTCAGTCCCTGCTACTACAGAGCTCTTCTTAGCAACAAAGGGCCAAGGACAGGATGAAGAGCCAGGAAAAGGGAACCGCTACCTACACAGGCAGGCCACAACGGAAGGGACTGGTGCTTTTCAGGGACTCTGTGTTAAAGGGAGCGAGGACAACTCAGAGGGCAGCAGGCAGGGATCCTGGAGGAAGGGGGGGAACAGCCTTTAAACTGCTATCTGCGATGGGTGGCTAGGGGCCAGCAACAGCGTCACAAGCTCAAGGAAAAGCAGCCTTGGCCAAAGAAAGGGCAGTGAGGCAGGAGTTGGGGATTGGGAGTCAGGCCCTGGGTGCAGCGCTTCCAACTCGGGGCTCAGACTTCGCATCGCAATGCAAAAGCGAGGTTAGCCTGGAGGGCACATCAGGTCCACTCCACCCAGGGCTTGCTCAGGCCCTGCAGGTCGGCTGGCACTGCCTAGAAGACAAGGCTAGAGGGGAGTTACAGGGCCGACTCCGCACAAGAGAGAGGGCAGCTCACAGGGCGCTCCCAGCTCAAAGGGGCTGCAAGATGAGGGCCAGAGCAGATGGAAATCAAAAGATGACCCCAGGACCAATCCGGTCAGCCTGGTGGTAACTGGTGTCATGGATGATCTCTCCCATGGGGGTTGCCTTACCCGTTGTGGGGGTGTGTGGATCAGGGCCCGGTAGAAGCAGGTGGTCTGGGGATACAAAGCCAGCACAAGCTGCTCCTTCTGGAATAACGCTTCGGGGTCTGTCTCAGGGTTGGCCTTCCACTGGGGCAGTGGGATGATACGCCGCCGGCTCAGGGTGTGTCTCCTGGAGGGGAGCTTAGGTCAGTCCGTGACTAGATAGGGGGCTCCTTCCCAGCAGCATGGCTGTCCCCCAGGCTTCCCTTGCCCCTCCCTGGCCAGCACACTCACTCTTTGCCTTCTTCATCAATGTCGTCTACCTCATACCTGCGGGTGAACGAAAGGAGAACAGTGGATACAGGGCGGTACAGAGTCCAGGCAGGGGACCCAGGAGAGTGGAGAGGGAAAGTGTCCCAAGAAGCCAGCTCTTCACACGTCAGTTCCCACAGGGCTGGGTGTGTCCACTCACTTGTTGGTGGCATGGCTGTAACTGACCACCTCAGCCAGGATCCACTGCTCATCCCCATCCACGGCCTTTACCCGGGCAGCCACCTTGTCTCCGGGCTTGGCCACGTAGTCCCCAGAGGCTGGAATGGCCCCACAGAGTGGGGGCGGCCTGAGAGTGGAACAGAGTATTAGTCAGAGCCGCCACCACCAGTTCCCCCTCCCTGAATCTGCCCTCACTTGTCACCAGGCTTCCCGATCCACAACGGCAGGGTCATGGCTGACTGCTGCAGCAGAGTCATTAGCACCCCCCTGCGCATGGTCTTCCGAGGAGGCTCCGAGTCATTGTATAGGCCTGCAATCTTGGCAGCTGTGGGAAGGAAGTGAGGCCCTGAGGCACCAGGGATATAGGGTGCCTGCCCCCAGGCCCACGCTAGCACTGAGCTGGCGGAGCTCAGCTCTACCTCTCAAGTTAGCACCAAGGATGATCCTTGACCCTTCCACTAGATGGCCACGGTGAAAGGCTGCCAGGCTACAGTAACAGATGGGTGAGAGGGCAGGTTAGTGGATACCCTTTGGGAGAAGGAACTAGAAAGCTCAAAAGGGGACTTCTGAGGTGCTGGGCATGTTCCGTTTCTTGGTCTGAGCGCTGGTTACATCCACTTGTTCAGTTACTGAAAATTTTATTGAGCTGCACGTACCCTTGCATATATTTTCTATTAATATGTTGTAACTAAACAAAAAGTTAAAAGATCTATCAAATGTGGACAGACCCCTTACCTCCTCAGGCATGGCTCAAAACACCCAACTTCAAACCCAGCTGGCAGTGTGACAACATTTTTGATGGGTGAGGAGCCTGCCCACTGTGGGTTCATTGAAAAAGGGCAAGAAAGAGGCGTGAAAGCAGTCTGAAGGGATTTGGAAGCCAGCACCCTGTGTAAACTCCACCTGAAAGGCTGGCTTCAAGACATCCGGGTGTGACTCAAACACAATGATAACCCAGACATACAAATTACACTGAGAATACACTGAAACATACAAACTATACTGAAGGCGGGTGGCAAGTGCTCTAGGCAGTGGAGCGGGGAGACAGACCTGAGGGATTGGGGCAAATCACCTTGCTGTGCAGAGGGAGAACAAGGAGGCCCTGCCTCTGAGCCCTGGGACCCATGTCCCTTCCCTTCCCAATGCCAGGCTGCCCTGGTGTGCCTCTGTCAAAAACCCATGGACTGATCCATCACACTAGGTTGAGGTTACCAGGCTCCCCCACAAGAAGACACGACTGCTGCTCTCAGGAGACTTCACTCTGCCTGGTTGAGGAACCCAAACAAACTTGTCTCTAACTCACCGATCCGCCTCTCTTCCAAAAGAGACTTGATTTCCGCAATCTTATCTAGGGCCTTCCGGAGGATGCTGAGGGTGGGGAGAAGAGAAAGAGGTCTGGATGAAGCACAAAGTGTGGACTTTCTTTTCTGGTTAATAATTCAGATCAACTTTCTTGCCAAAAACGATGAACTCTACAGAGGCTGTTTTTAATTGTAAAAGCATTAAAAAATCCTGATGAGACAGGAGGAAGTTACAGGCCAAAAAACCAAAGAGGTAGGCAAGCAAATCAGAGAGAGTGGCAATTGCCTGAGTGCATTTGACAAATCCCAAAGAAATGTCCCTAAGCGTGGGCAGCCTCGAGCAACCTCTTGAGATTTGGAAGACAGAAGAAAAACTTGGGGCCTGCGCAAGGTGGGTCCCGGGAAAGGAGGCACTGCCGAGGACTGTGGGGACTGCTGGCGGGAACTCACCCCTGGGAGGCTGCAGCCCCAGGAACCTCTGTAGTTAGTTTATGGGGGTTCCAGATTGACTGGAGCCCAAGCAACCCGGCAGGAACAAACACAATTCCTTGCCCGAGGAAGCTTCTTCATTCTAGACCTTGGGGACTCTTCTTCCCTAAAGTATATTTCAACAGCAATAAGCAGCACAGACTCCACATGCTTATTTGGGTCATTCTCCAGTGCATGCCTCAGCAAAGCTTTAGCAAATGCCCATGTGGTTCTGAAGGCCTTCGTTCAGTAGGGGGGAGGCATGAGAACACAGCACAATAGTTTTACAGAAGGTGTCCTAGTGGGTGTCCACAACCTCAGGGTGTGATTTGTGGCGTTCACCACACAGAGGCCAGAGGTGCGGTAGGGAGCAGCAAACACCTTGCCCAGTATGCTCCGAGCATCAGTTAAGTGTGGCTGGTATAGGATGTAGGGACTTGGTCAGAGCAGGTTTGTGAGCACTGGGACACAGGGCAACCAGGCATCCAGGAAAGCAGAGAAGGAGTAAAAGCCCAGAGGCCAAAGCAAACTTTGAAAGTCTGATCACTGCTGCTGGGCCTGTCTGGAGGATATGTGTTTATGTAGCATATCCTAGCTGTATTCTGTGAGATATTAATGGAGTCGCTTTCAACCCGAGCTGGATATTGGACTCCCCTGTGCAGCTTAAAAAATATATATACACCTAATTGTTCTAAGCAAGAATCATAAATAGATGCCAAAACTAGTGCATCTGATGGGAACTGGGATATTTACAGAGTCTCAGAGTACCTCCCGTAAGATACTTATTATTAATTACACAATGGAAAATAGCAGTAATTTGACACAGGAGAAACCTTGGAAGAGACCACCTTAACCGATGGGACAGGGTCTTCTTATATGACGCACTAAGGACATCACTTCCATGTTATTACTGCCCAAAGTGTAAAACCTGAATATAATCCTGAGGAAATGTGAGACAAATCTGCATGGAGGGGCATTCAACAAAATCACTGGCCTATGATCTTCAAAATGTCAAGGTCATGAAGGGCAAAGAGGGCCTGGGAACTGTTTCAGACTGAAGGAGACTAAAGAAACATGATAACTAAATGCAATGGTAATCTATACTAGAAAAAACTTTTGCTACAAAGGACACTAGTGGACAGGGATGAAATCTGAGTAAGATCTGTAGATTAGTTAATATTTTTATATCAATCCTGATTTTGAGAAACGTACCATGGTTATGTAAAAATGCCCTTGGGCACTTTGTAGAACCTCCATCCCTATCACCTACAATTTTTCAGTGACTCAGAACTCTTGACAAATAATGACCACAAAAAAAAGGTCCTAATAGATTAAACAAAAATACTGGCAGAGGTGGAGGAAACCCTAGAGGATACAGGGGCTATTGGAACAACGGTTTTAAGTGCAGACGGCACTGCAATCCAAACCACCTTGGACAACTCAACAATTCAATATGCAGGTTGTCTTCATCAGCTGACAATGAAGGCCAGGAGCAGTCTGTGAAACTGATCCTCAGAATGACCTAACCTTTCTTAGGATCAGGTCAAGACCGTGAAATCACGGTAGCTCCAGGTAAGGACTATCTTCTGATTGTCATTTGGAATCCATGTGAATAGCTTTGCTATGGCCAAGTCCTTCCTGTGACACTGGGTTGAACACAATACTCTTACTGTTTCTTAAAAAAATAAATGTGTTCTTTAAAAAAAAAATTGATTATAAAGAGGAAGGACGAAAGCAGGGGGGAGAAACAGAGACATCAATCCATTTTATGTGCCCTGGCTAGGGACTGAACTCACAGCCTTGGCATATAGGGATGATGGTCTAACCAACGGAGCTACCTGGCCAGGGCGAACGCACTACTCTTTAATGATTACTAAGATTCTATTCCAATGTAACTGATTTTGGCCATTCTTTTCTATTTCTACATTTAAACTATTATACATGTCTCATTTAGTCCCTCTGGAATGTAAAGTTGTGATTTAGCTATATAATAAATTCTGGTATAAAAAAAGGTATGTCCTTATTTTTAGGAAATATTGATATATTTAGAAGTTAAGGGTGTCATATCTGCAATGTAAACAGTTCAGAAAAAAATATATGTGTATATATAGAATGATAAAGAAGATGTGACAAAATTGTACATTTATCTAAGTCTGAAATTCTATACAAATAAAAAGTTAAATCAACATCAGTGTCTGAGCTCCACCCCAAGTAAATCATTCTGTTGAATGCAGTTAAGAGCCCCAAGCCCTAACCTCCCTCCTCCCAACCTCAGCACCCCCTGGCTGCTGAGTAAGGGGCCATTACGGTGTGGGGCCTTTAAAATACTCCAATAATGCTGCATACAAATTCACAGTGTAATTATTTGATTAGGGTGACATTTAAAAAATACGAAAGGGAAAAAATAATTCCTCTTGGGCTTTCTTCTCTTGCTGTGGTAGTTGGAGCTGTACCTGCAAAGGTAGATGCAAAGCAGCTAAGCCCAGGGGCACAATATAGGTGGAACTGATGGGAAGTGCCTACCCACAACCCTCTCCTCGGCCCAGATTGCAGCTGGGGAGGTGTAGCGATAGGATAAAGGTAATAAATGCTATCTTCTCAGGGACATGGCTTCTGCGCCCAACTCTAAGTGGTCTGTGTCCGGGGTAGGGAGGGAGAGCTGAGGCGTCCTGTGATCAAGACTACGGTGCTCCTCCGGTCAGTAACATGGAGCAATATCCACGGTGCAGGTGCCCACCGGCAAGCGGTCTGCTGTCCAGGCCCCAGTGCCTGGCTCAGAAAGGTGGACCAGGCATTCATTCTATTCTCCAGGCACTTGACACTTTGGCCTGTGAGCCCTTCACCCTTGGAAAGCTAAACTGTACCTCTGCCTGCATTGGCTTGACCACTCCTAGAACTATCTTCCCTAGCTGGCACGCTGAGTGACTGAGGCGGAGAACTAACTACCCACTATTTGTAGTCAGTGTTACAGACCATCCCTCATGCTGTTCACTGTGCCCTTACAGACCTGCATCTTGAAAAATGCTTTTTGAACTAAGGTTAGTAAATAACTTGTTCCCACCTGGGAATGGCTACCTGTCTTCCACTGGAATATGGAAAGTGAGATCTTTGACCTTGTTTCCCTGTGACTCCTGCTGCTAGTGTGTTACCTCAAGGCCTTTTTAAAAAAAGAGATGACTGGTAAACGAAGACACAGGGGTTCCTTTCCATTTTCTGTAAAGCAGGAGGAGGAAAACCAGCTGGGAGGCAGCGTGGTGCACACAGCAGAAGGAACAGCAATGCCTCTCAGGACTTGGGCTAGTTCCTGAAGCCAGCACTTGGCACCTCTTCAGTTTCAGATGGTCTTAACTCATCTATTTAGAAAGTGAGCTGATGCTTGTTGTAGGCCCTGGATCAGTGCTTCAGGAACACATGATAATGAGTAGTCCCCAACCAGCCTTAGAGCTCCCTGCAGGCAGTGCTGCCATCTTTGCTGCCTCACCTATTTTCCTGTACCCAGCATGGCTTTTGGTGCTGAGGAGGCCCTGCTCAGGGTTTAGCCAATGAATATATGCACATTTGAGTCTATGAAAGTGAAACAAGCCCTGGCTGGTATGGCTCAATGGACTGAGCGGTGGCTTGCGACCCTCATGGTTGCTTGTTCGATTCCCAGTCAGGGTATATATGTCGGTTGCGGGCCAGGCCTCCCCCACAAAAAAAAAAAAAAAAAAAAAAAAAAAGAAAGAAAGTGAAACAGCAGCAGAAGTGGAACAAGTTGGGACCTCCAGTTATGAAACAAGCTTAACTCTGGTTAAGTCAATGCCAGAGAAGAGCCCACACCAAACTGGTTTCAGCAGCTGTCACCTCACTTCGTTGGCAGTTAGGCTGGGAAGGGACAGTTTGCCTTTTATTCCCAAATAAGCGTGTCTCTCTCTCTGACTTACGCAAGTCAAACTCCAGCCCAGATGACTGGGAAAGGGCCTGACTAATGCCAGGCGAGAAGCCTGCAAATCACGGAGAAGACGGGGGTGGGGACTGGTGGCCTGAAGAGCCAAGAAGGCAATACTTTCGATCAAAATTCACTGTCGCCTCCCCTTAATTCGGCCTGACTATTTTGTTCTGCCCCCCAACCTATCATAGGGAACCCCACCAAATCCATTTGTCCAAGCTGAAAACCTTGGAGTCTTCAACTTCTCCATTCCCAACTGGTCCCCAATTTGATATCAGAAACCGCCCTTGAACCCACTCTTGCTTCTTCATCCCCAGTGCCACCATCTCAACTCAATGCCATCAGGATCTCTTGCCTGGTCTCCTAATTGGCCTTTGACGTCACCCAGTCTACTCTCCGTGTGGCAGCCATGGTTTTTTCTCCTGCTTTACATCTTCATTGGCTCCTTGTCACTCTGGGATAAAGTCCAGGTACTGGAGGCCCTCCATATCCCTGCCCCCCTTCCCTAGCCACTCATAACTAGTTCTTACTCCCCAAATGATACACCCTGCAAACCTTCCTCCACGGCCTTTGCACTGTCTGTCCTGTCTGCCTTGTCTGCCTACTGATCCTTTACTTGAGCCTCTCCTCCTCTCTGAGGCCATCCCGGATCCCCAGGCACGGTGAGCCCCATCTCTGCTGGCCCAACTACACAGTCTGGTAACCTTTCTTTTTTGGACTGCCTGCCCTTGAAGGCAGGACCCTTACTGTCTTTATGTCTCTATATGGGGATTGCCCAGTGCCAGGTGCAGGGTAGCACCAGCAGAGGTTTGCAGAGTGACTGACAGCAGGCAAAGAAGATATGGGCTCACGAGTACAGGGAAGAACCTGGGAAGAACCAGATGGGAGGATGAAGAGCCCTGGAGCCACCATAATGCTCAGTCTGCTGACCCTGAGCATAGCTGTCACCGCCCGGGGCCTGGCATGTCAGCCACCACGCATGCTACAAGGCAGCATTATGTGAACTCTGAGCTATGACTCGTCAGTGAATCATGAAATAATTTCTTGGGTAACATCCAGTATTTAAAAAAATTAAACAGAATAGACTATGCAGCAGTAACTGTAAAAACAGAACATCTTGTTCTAGTTCTCTGATATATGTATGTATAAATTAAGTGTGTGTGCTGTGGAAAGGCATCATTATACTATTCTAGTATGGAATTAAAGAATAGGGACTTTGGGCTTAAAATTGGGCTCCCCCACTTACTAGTTGTGACTTTTGACAGATTACACAAACCCTTGGTGTTTCAGTTTCCTCATCTATTAAATGGGGTAACCCCCATTTTAGGGTTGCTCTGAGGAGTAAATGAGGTAAATAGATAAAGTATTTGGAATAGTACCTGGCACAGGGTATGGCCACAGAGTTGTTATTGTTATTATTATTGCCACAATAAAGAACTTATTTCCTAATGTGAGTTATGGTCAAAATAGTTTGAAAAACACTAGTCTTAGGCACTTTCTATGCATAATCTCATTTTATGTTGACAATTCTACAGGTAACTATTATCCCTATTTTAATGATGGAACAACTGAGTCTCCACTGAAATGACTGCCCAAGGTCACATGACTAGTAAATGGCAGCGCTGGGATCTGACTCCTGCCTTGCTGCCATCTATAAAACAGCAGGGCCAGGGAAGACAGGCCCTAGAAGGGCGCTCCAGGGAAGGCAGGCCCCAAGGGAGAGGCTCACACATAGCATGAACAGCAGTCTGAGGCTGTGGTCCACAGGTTCCCTCAGTCCAGCACCTCGGTGAGGAAGGGGAGGCCATGGTAGGGGGTGGGATGGTACTCACTTGCATTCGGCCTCTGCATCGGCTTTGGCGGTTGTATAAAGGCCACGCAGCTTTGTCCGGTAATAGGGAGAGACTGTAGAGCAAGCACAGGGAGAAAGAGATGTGGGTGAGGGGCAGCTGGCAGGAACGTGGCACTGCTTCCAGTAACCCAGGATCAGACCTTGGGAGGCAACGAGAAGCCATGGGCCGAGACATGAGCTTCACTGGCTCAGAACTGCTCCCTGAGGCACCTGAACCCCAGGTACTACGAGTTCACATTTTCACACAGCACAAATGCCATCACTACATCCAAGGGAGGACTTTCTTACTTTTCCCATTGCATGATACACACAGAAAATATTTCCCCACACAGAGGAAAACAGAGAACAATTCTCAAAGCTGCTCAAGAGTCGGAAAGCACAAGGCCAGGGGCGTAATCTTCTGAGTGCCTCAGGCTCACTGGGAGGAGCTCTCCCTAGAAACACCAGTAACTGGGTGCTTGTGTGCTCTGAGGCGTTTCCCTAGATGCAGCCTCATTTTGCTGTCTTTCCAGTCCCTAGAGCTGGGGGATTTTAGAGTTCCTTACTGCTAGGCACTCTGCTATCTGCCTCCTAGGTCACCTTAGGTCACCCAGCCTAAGGGAAATCTGTCCGTCTGGATTAAGCAGTAGCTCATTCTGGGTTATGCAGATACATGCAAAAGTCCCTTTTGAAAAAGATAGCAGCCATGTTCCCAGTCTTGGCCCAGACCCCCTTCTCATCCTCTTCCTCTCTGAGCCTAGCTACTCACTCTTGTTCTCTGTCTGCATCCGCTCATGGGTCTTCTGGATGTTCACTAAGTTGTGTTCACTCCGCGAACGTTCCTCCTGCAAGGATGAGGTCAACAAGACATGAGGGAGGCCCTTCACCCTGCTGTGGTCCCCTGCACCCCGTAACTATGGCCCTCATCTTCTAGATCCAAACTCAGGACCAGTTCAAAAGGATTTTTTCCCCCTGCCTAATGCAAAATGTTACAAAAGCCATTAAAATTAAATCATAAATTATAGAGTTAATGACTCTCCATCAGAAAAGCCAAACTGATCTACAGATGCAATCAATCCCCATAAAAATTCCAGCTGACTTCTTTGTAGAAATTGACAAGCTTTTTCTAAAATTCATATGGACATTCAAATAATCCAGAATAACCAAAATGATTATGAAAAAGAAAAACAAAAACATGGGAGGACTCACGTTTCCCAATTTCCAAATTTACGACAAAGCTACAGTCGTCAAATGGTGTGATACTGGTATATAGAGAAATATAGAACTAGAATTGAGAGTCCCGAAATTAACACATACACCTATGATCGATTCACCTGTGGAAGAAGGGATGGGGAAGGATGCTGGTACAATCCTTCCCCACATCAGTGGTCCTGGGATCAGGGCTGCAATGGAAGATGCCAGAAGCAGAGACGATTCTTAGTCAGAATTTCTAAGTGGCTGCCAAAATGGAGTCAATGGTGAATGCAGCTATGCTGCCAAGTTATGGAAATAGCTCACTAGTTCTGTACCTATGGAACCCTTTCCTACATGAACGGGAATGCCTGAGGAGGGATGGGGAGGAGACAGGACATGACTCTTGCTAGACTAGTGTCACTGCCTGCAATGTGGCCCAGCACAGTGGCTGCGCATAACGTTCTTTCAAGGGTAGAAAAGTCTGTGTAAAAATTAATGACAAGTGGAGAAAAGATGAACAGTAGCTGAGGGTTAAAGAATGAATAGGGTATGCAATGCTGTAAATTCAGTATTATATTAATACCTCGAGATAGGCTCAGAGTAAGAGAATACTACTGGCTCTTAACTCAGTTATACCAGATACCCTGAAGGGTAAAGCTATACATCTGCTGAGACCACTCCTGCTTTTAGAACCTGACAAAGTCCAATGGGAGCCTGCAACCCTGATGGCATCCCTCTGAGACATGACGGGTATACAGTACGATGATAATCAGGACAAACTGCGGATGACTGAATGGAATTCTAGCAATATGCCAGTATCCTCTTTTTCTTTAGCTTTAAAACTTTATTAATAAACTACTTTTAGAGCAGTTTTAGGTTTACAGAAAAACTGAGCAGATAGTAGAGAGAGGCCCCATGCACCTGTTCTTCCCTTCTGTTTCCCCTTAACATCTTGTGGTGAGTATGGTGCATTTGTTACAATTAACTAACCAGCAGTTCTTGAACTCAAACAAATCGGTTCCCTAACAAGTTGTTCATGGGAAGAATGTCTCCGTTGTTACCAAAGCTTCGGTTCTTGGCCCGATAACCCTTTCATGCCGATACCTGTATGATCAGTCACCTGTATGATTTGGTTTTTGAACAAACTGCTTCTTGAAGAGCTTTCCAGAACAAATTAAGTTCAAGAACCAAGGTTCCCCTGTACTGATAATTATTAACCAAAGCCCACAAATTACATTAAAGTTCCCTTTCTGTGTTGTACACCCCATGGGTTTTGACAAATGCGTAATGTCATGTACCCACCATTGTGGTTATCATACTGAACAGTTTCACCACCCTAAAAATCTTGTGTTCTCTCCATTCACCCCTCCCTCCTTCCAAGCCCCTTATCTTTTCACTCTCTCGTTTTGCCTTTTCCAGAATGTTATGTAGGTGGAATAATACAGTATATAACCTTTCAGACTGGGTCCTATCACTTAGGAACATGTGTTCCAGTCTTTTTTTTTTTTAATCCTTACCTGAGGACATTTTTTCTTTTGCTTTTTAGAGAGAAAGGAGAGAGTGGGGAGAGGGAATAGAGGGAGGAAGGGAGGGAGAGGGAAGGATACGGAAAGAGGGAGAAACATCAGTTGCTTCCTGTACATGCCCTGATGGGGAATCGAACCTGCAACCTTTTGGTACACGGAATGATGTTCCAACCAACTGAGCCACCCGACCAGGGCTGTGTGCCAGTATCTTTTGACTCTTTGTTTTCAGGTTACAGCCCCCCACAAAGGATGTCATTGGGAAGGAATTTCTGGGAACTGCTCCATCCTGGATCACTGAATAGTGCAGTATATGGTTCTCAGCAGACAGACTATTGTGCCACTATCAACTTGGACGATGGAATGCTGAGAAAGGTATAATGGACAAAACAGTGGCAGTGTATTCCTGAGATGCTGCAGCACGCTATGCACAATTACACATTACTGTTGTTTTTGTGAATGAAAAACTATTAAAAAGAAGAGGGGGGAAAATGGGCTTCTGATAGGATTAAAGCACTAGGCACAACATGCTGAGTCCAAATTCAACAGGGGAAGAGCCCCACCCTAAGATGCAGAAGGTTTTGAAAGGCTGAATGATATACTCAGGCTAAGTTACATCCAGGTTCGACTACTACTCTTCTGGTCCTAGTAGAGGGGACCCAACATTTTTGGGTACAAAATATGCATCCTAATTACACCCAGGCCACAAAATGCACAGTGGAGTAAACTACACTAGCTCACAGAAAGGAAAGGGGGTGTGTGTTGTGGGACGAGCTAAATGCATTTTTTCAAAAAGATTTTATTTAATTTTAGAGACAGAGGAAAGGAGGGAGAAAGGGAGTGAGCCAAACATTGATGTGTGAGAGGAACAGAGATCAGTTGCCTCTCACATGCCCCCAACCGGGGACCTGGCCCACAACCCAGGCACACACCCTGACTAGGAATCAAACCAGCAACCTTTTGGCTTGCAGTCCAGGGCTCAACCCACTGAGCCACACCAGCCAGGGCTAAATGCATTTTTCTCATTTTTAATGAGAAGCAGCACTCGGGAGGGAAAGATGTGTTAATCAGAAAAAAGAGACTGGAGTGAGTTCTCTTGCAAGAGCTAGGGAAAGGATAGGAATTAGCCCAGAAAGACAATGAAGCTTTAGTGAAGTAGTTTAGGCCAACTCAAAAAAAAAAAGAAAAGAAAAAAAAAAGATGGATGATTCTAGGATCCATCTGTTACTGGGAAAAGGCTTGCACCCTTACCTACCTGGGCCTCTTGACTATTTTAATACAGATGGAGGCTAAGTAAGCCATAGGGCAATGGTTCTCTATATTATCTGCTAAGCCCCAAGGGGCACAACTAGGGGATGTTATGGGCCTCCAAATCTGTGGAAGCCCTCGAGGGGCCCTTGTAAGTTACATCAATATACCACAACTACCCCGACCCCAAGAACTGTTCAAAATAAGAATACCCTGACGTATAGTTGGCACAGACAGGACTGTTACTCTACCACCTGTCCTCTCCTCTGGAGGGAGGTGGGCCCTCATACACAACAGCACACAATGGAAACCAGTCTCAGTAAAGCCTTTGGGCTCAGAAAGGGTGACTGGCTTTATCCCCAGCTGACTAAGAACCCAGAAATAATTGAATTATGGCCACCTGTAATAAAGCCTATCTGTAACAATAACTGGGAAATGGGCAGTGCTGATTCTGTTGGGAAGACATAACAAACAGCTCTGTAATTCGTACTGATTTGTGAATCGTACCATAATGAAAGTGAATTTTACCATGATCATACTTCAATATGGTATAATACCCTGGCATTATTGGTAAGATTCAACTACCTTATATAAATAAGTGATATGATAACACTGGATATTGATAACCAAATGTATTGGGGGACTGAGTCAAAGCCTTCTCGAAATGTAATACACATTGAAAAATGAGTACGCTGTGGAAGAACTGGGCTTCACTAACCATCGGCAAATTTCTATGCTAGATATTTCTATACAAATTTATCATAATGTACAAGTAGTGAGAGATGAGGGAGGGAAATGAGTAATCAAATTAATTCAACAATATGAATATATATGCAATAGCTCTAAGTACAGATTAGTGGTTTCTTTAAGACGTCTCAACCCCACATTGGCTCCTTCAAATGTTAGGCATATTCATACTGATATTATTGTTGTGTCTGGGATATAAATGCTACATTCAAAGTGGAAACATGGAAATAAAGAACAAACTGACAGTGACCACAGGGGAGTGGGGATGATGGGGAAAAGAAGGGGGAAGGGTCATCAAGGAACATGTATGAAGGACCCGCGGACGAAGACAGTGGCGGGGGGAAGGGACTGAATGTGGGAGGCAGGAGTGGGTAGGGTGGGGGAGACTAATGGGGGGAAAACGGGGACAACTGTAACTGAACAAAAATTAAAAACAAAAGAAAAATCTTAGGTCATAATACTAAAAAAAAAAGTAGATGTTCAAATATGATTGTTTTGCTATAAGAGAGCCTAGGCCAAGGGCCAGGGGGTGGCTTGTGCACTAAAAGGTTAACTCAGCGCCTGCCCAGTGTGGCTCAGTTGGTTGGGGGTTGGGGGTATTCCCACAAAGCAAAAGGTCGCCAGTTCAATTCCTAGTCAGGGCACATGCTTGGGTTGTGGGCTCGGTTCCCGGTCAGGGTGTGTGTCAGAGGCAACTGATTAATGTTTCTCTCCCTCTCTTTCTCCCTTCCTTCTTCTATTTCTAAAAATAAATAAATAAAATCTTAAAAAAAAAAAAAAAAAAAAGGTGACCTCAGCAGGCCCAGGTATTCAAACCCTGCACATTCCAAAAAGGTCTGGCCCTTGACCAACTTTTGAGAGATAATCTCTAAATCCTTGTATTACATTGCCTGATAAGTGCACCTTTGTCTGGGTAAGCGGTGTGAGGAAAAGGAGTAACTATTATTGGGTATAGCGCACTTTTGTCAAGCAATAAATGTTCTGAAATTGATCATGCTGATGTTTGCACAACTCTGAATATACTAAAAACCACTAATTATATACTTTAAATGGGTTAATTGTATAGCTGTTATTAAACAAAGAATCATGAGATCCTCCACATGACAGATAATCCGACAGGAACGGTAGTCATACCCTCCTCCTCTTCTCACCTTCATGACGTCATCTAGGTCCCTTCAGGTCCAATCTCTCTGAACACGGCCCCTGCCCACCTCGCCACATCTCAGCATCACAGCCATGCTCCCCTCTAGAAATGGAGGGCTGTAGCCTTTTACCTGTGTTTGTTTGATCAGCTGATGGAGCTCTGTGAGAAGTTCTGCAATGCGGGAATCAGCAGACACAAGGGCCATCGTACATGGGGTGCCTGGGATGGAGGAGGAACAGAAGAAAACCTTGTTAGTGGCTGTTATGGGTTAAACTGGGTCCTTAAAAAAAGATATGCTTAAGTCTCAACCCCTGGTATCCGTGAATGTGACCATACTAGGTGATAGGGTCTTTGCAGATGTAATTAAGATGTATGTTAAGATCAAGTTATACTAGAGTAGGGGTGGGCCATAACGCAACATGACCGGCATCTTTATAAGAGAAGAAAAGACAGAAACAGACACACAGAGAAGACCAGGTGGGGAGACACAGAGAGAGGGCAGATAGTCATGGGACAGAGGTAGAGATTAGACTTAGGCAGCTGCAAACCAAGAATTGCCGACTTGGCCACCACAAGAAGCTGGGAGAGAGGCATGCAATAGATTCACCTTCTGAGTACCCAAGCAGGAACTCACCCTTGGTTTTGGAAGCAAGCCAACCCCTTGATTTTGGAATTCTAGAGCTGTGAGAGAACACTTTTCTGCTGTTTTAAGCTACCTAGTCTGTGATAATTTGTTACAGGAGCCCTAGAAAACTAATATAGTGGCAGGTAGTCCTGAAATTCTACTCCAATCCAATGATGTTTGTATTCAGTATGTTCAACCAAATCAAGGACTTACTAAGTCACTTACAAAAGCAGCATACCCCAGCCCCATCTCTGTTGACAAATGATTTAAGCATTCTGGTCTCCATTTTTAAAAATCTGTAAAATGGGTATTCAAATAAAATTTTATATAAAGACACTTTCTATATCATAAAACACTTACTTTTTTTATGGTAGAGGGAGGAGAAATTAACCACTAAAAAAAAAATCTGACTTAAGGGAAGATAAATGTATTGATGAAAGTAAAATGCAATAAAAGATAATTAGACAAAGAATAAAAGACAATAAAAGGTAATAAGAGAGTAAGTTACTATAACTAGATAAAAATGGACATATGCCTAAAAATAAAGGTAGGTTGGAAAAAATAAGAGGAAAATTTTTAATGTGCTGAAATTTGGTATGATACCCTATCTTCTAAGACAGGTTATTCAATTAATACATCTTTTTACCCACAAAGATCAGGTTCACACTGAATGCAGTAAGCATCCCCCCAATAATAAATTGTGAACTCCATGTATTTAAATATTCACATCTTCTTAAAATCTCTGCTTCTGTTTACTAAAAAAGTAATATTCATACTAAGAACAGAGGGGGACTTCCTCAATCTGATCGAGGGCAACTATGAACACCCACAACTAACATCATACTTAAAAGTTAAGACTGAAAGCTTCCCCCTCTCCCTGCTAAGATCAGGAACAAGCCAACACTGTTCTGGAGGTTCTAGCGAGGGCAGATATGCAATAAAATGAAATAAAATAGTACATATTGGAAGGGAAGAAGTAAAACTATCTTTAGTTGCAGATGACATGACCTTGTAATAGAAAATACCAACCCACTAAATCCTCTAAACAACTATAATAACTAATAAAAAGGTTAGAATAGCAAGGTTGCAGGACATGTGAAGAGGCTTCCATCGCCATCTCTCCCATGACCCTATCACCTCTCATCATTGTCTGCCTCACATTTTATATTCCAGCAATACTGAACTGTTCTGCTTTTGACCGTACACCATGTAATTTCGTATCTCCATGCATTGTGTTTATGCTGTTCCCTCTATCTGGGATGTCCTTCCCATAACCAGATCACCCCCAGTACTCTGCCTCATTTAATTACTTATTATCTAAGACCTGCCTTACTACCAAGTCACCTACTCCACTAATCCTAATCTGGGTTAAATGACCTTTCTCTGTGTTCCCATAACACCTTGTGCATCTCTCTACCCCTATTCCTACCAAATCACATTAAAATTCTTTGTGTGTATTTGTTTCCTCCCCAACCATGTCCAATCTTTTGAGCGTAAGGATCACTTTATCTTCCGTACCTAGCATAGAGCTGGCACATAGTACCCATCATTCTTCCTTCCACTTCCATTCATTCTTCAACCCATCACAGTCTGGCTCTCCCTCAGTGCCCAGTGATCTGCCAGCTCCTGGAACTTTTCTCTGCACCGAACACCTGCCCGTATGCTGCTTCCCAAAGCTCTGCTCTTTGGGGTTCCAGGTCTTCGATCTCCCTTATTTCTCTAACCACCTGCATAACCTTTCTGCTATCCTCTTTTTCCACCCCCATGGAAAACCACCCCGGGATCCTCTTCTCATTCTCTAAGCACTTCCTGAGCATTCTCCCTGGCATCGGGCCCCCTGTTCTAAAGCATCCAAGCCAATATAATCAGCTCTGTCCTCTCTCAAGGGCTCCAACTCAGAGTTCCAGCTGCTACCTGAAGAGCTCTATGAAGAGGCCCCGAGACATCTCACATTTTCTGTCCCGCACTGCTCTGCCTTCCAGATGTGGGTTAATGGTATCCATCACTGGCAGGCCAGCTTCCCAAGCTGGCAATCCCAGAGTCACTGAATCTTCCTTCTTGCTCATCTCTAACTGCCCATCTCCATGATCAATCTCCGTTCAAATTCTATTGATTTTGCCTCAGAAATTTATCTCAAATCCAGCCCTCTCTCTTCCACCATACCAGCCACTGTCTTAGTTTAGAATCTCATCATATTATCCTGATAATCATCCCATCTGTCTCATTGTGGGCGGACACAAAGCCTATTTCTCTTAAGGGGAAAAAAGAACTTTGAGTAGGTATAGATATACATAGTAAAAAAATATTTAAACAATTCAAGAAGTACAATACCTCCCACCCCTAGAGGCAACCACTGTTGTTTCTTGGGTATTTATTTCTCCAGTGATATCACACGTATATACGAGAAAAAGCTTTTGTCAATGGTAGCTGCAGAGACAGACAGACATATGAGAGTGAGGTTGAAATGTTCAGCAAACCAAAGGGAAAAAGCCACATGTTCTAGAGGGGAAGGAGTAGATCATATACCAAACCATGCAGGGCCTAACCCTGCAACGAGCAGGCAGCAGTGGGAAAGGAGGACCTGGCCCCATTTTTGGAGATGTTTCTGGGCCCTCCAACACTCAGCCCTACACCAATTATCGGGTCCCCCACACATGTAAATGGTGACTTGAGACTTTTAACATGCTTTCATCTCCTCTCATTTCTACCCAACGTGAAATAATTTTGAAGTGCTGAGATGAGTGACAGGATTCTGGAGGATCCCTTGGCCTACTGGGTAGTGCCCTGCCCAGAAGAACCACCTCATTTTATGATTTTACAACAAACTACTAAATTACTGCTATTTCTAGATCCGGTCAGTTATGACATCAATTTTCTCAGAAAACACACTATAAGTAGAAGCAAATGTTTCTCAGGCTCTCTACTCTGACAATGCCATGTCTACTGGTGCAAAACCAAGTAGGAACTAGGTATCAAGTAGGAGCGAGGTACTGGGGACTGGAACTACACCTGACCTGAGGCACACCTAACGGAAAGGCCAAGCAGCTCCCAGCTGGCAAGATGGCTTCCAGCCCAAGTTGTGTATTAGCAGAGACCAAGGTTCCCAGGTTGATCTTATCTCTATTCTTGAACCATAGAAGCTAGGTATTTCCTACAAGATTTCTGGCATTCATATTGAGACAAGTGTTAGTGCTCTAAAGTTTCTGGCTCCTAGCACTCTCTTCTTTCCAGTGACTCAGAAGGCCACACCATCTATTTCTACCCACAGAGGAAACCACTGTCCTGGTATTTCTCACTACAGATTAGTTATGCCTGTTCTAGAACTTCATATAAATGTAATCATGCCATCCAACTATTTAGTGTCTGGATTCTTTCACTTAACATGTTTTTGAGATTCATCTATGTCGTACGCATCAAGAACTGGTTTCTTTCTACTGCTGAGGAGCATTTTATTGTATGAACAAACTAGTTTGTTTAATCAGTCCTCTAAATGGTACCTGGGCTCCTTCCAGTTTTGGGCCATTATAAATAAAATGGTTTTGAGCAGTCATATGAGTCCTTTTTGAGGCAGATGTTCATTTTTCTTGAATAAATACTTAGGTTTGAGGTATATATTTACTTTTATAAGAAACTAAGTAGTTTTACCATTTTCCACTCTCAAGAACAATGTATGAATTTTCAGTTGCTCTATATTCTTGTCAACATAGTGTTGTCATTTTTATTTTATTTAAACAATTTTAGCCATCCTAGCCAGTGTGAAGTAGTATTTCATTGTGGTTTTAATGTATACCTCTCTGAGGGCTAATGATGTTGAGTGCCTTCTCAAGTGCTTATTTGGCTTCCTTTATGGCATATCTGTTCAGGTCTTTTGCCTCCTTTTTCATTAGGTTGTCTTTTTATTATGATTTTTAAGAGTAAGTTATATATTTAGGATGCCTTTGGTCAAATATGAATTTTTAAAATTATTTCCCCTAGTCTGTGTCTTGCCTATTCACCTAAGTGGTGTCTTTTGATTAGCAGAGTTTTATTTATTTTTTTTAGAAACTGGTATTTCTTTAAAAAAAATTTTAGAGAGAGCATGACAGATACAGATATTGATTTGCTGTTCCACTTGCCTATGCATTCAGTGGTTGATTCTTCTATGTGCCCTGATGGGAGATGGAACCTGCAACCCTGGTGTATTAGGATGAGGCTCCAAACAACTGAGCAACCAGGCTAGAGTTAACATCATTCTTGCAAAGGGCTTAATTAAGTGGTTTGTTTGTTTGTTTGAAGTATATTCATAAGACTGTGTAACCACCACCACTGTCTTAGGACATTTTCATCACCCCAAGAAAAAACTGTACCCATCAGCAGTCACTCCCTATTCCCTCCTCCTCTCAATCACTGGCAACCATTATTCTACTTTCTGTCTCTATGGATTTATGCAAACTGTTCTAGACAGTTCATGGAACAAAATCATACAATATGCCGCCTTTTGGGACTGGCTTCTTTTATTTAGCATAATGTTTTCAAGATTCATTCATGCTGTGGAATGCATCAGTACTTCATTGCTTTTATAGATGAATAAAATTCCATTGTATGGATATACACC